TCACCACCCCCCTCCACCCCCTAGGGCCCCAACCACCATGGGTTTTGCCGTTTTCTGTCGCCTTTAATAGGCTTTGTGAGGCTGCCTTACCATAAAATTAAGGCTTCTAGTGTCCTACTTACATAATTTAGTGTCAGAATTGCAAATTTGCCTTTCCCAGAGAGAATCCCTGGTACCCGCCCTTTAACCTGATGACGCTTTTCAAACCAAACGTGATGACGCAGAGACAGGGATGGCAACCAGAAGCTCCATGGGCCCACAGCGTTCAAGCTGGAGCGGCACTGAAAACTCATGTTCACACACTCTGTAAAGCTGCAAAGTTTCACCCAAACATGGCACTCAAACCACACTGTGTGCTCAGTTCAGGAAGCCCCATCTCTCAGCTGTGTTCGGGTGCTTTCAGAGCCCTTCCATGCCTGTCCACCAAACACAAAAGGCTCCCCTGCTACTCCACCTTTGATTTTCCATTTTAAAAAATTTCTTCACAGAAATGCACGTGTTTCCATTTCTACATCCCATGTGGTACATCCCAGCAGTGAATGTGAGAGTAGTAACCACTCAAAAGCACTGTAAATCCTCACAGAGAGGGCAAGGGTTTGCAGTTTTCCTCCTTTGCCTTCGGTGCTCCAGGCTGAGCGACATTTTTCTAGCTGCCACGTGCAAACAGCAACGCGTACCATTGCATTTCCAGCACCTCTGCAATTCAGCCAGCAAAGAGAGCACAACGACCAAGCAGCAAACGCCAGGATCGGGGAGAAGATGCAGAGAAAAAGCCCAACGTGACAAACCAGGGGCTGGCTCAGATGGGAGGGACACGGCTGCTGCTGTCTCCTATCTCAGTCCCAAAGACAGGCAATGCTTTGCAGAGTCAGAAAAACCTCATTTTCTCCAATCTCCTTTAGCCCGGTCCCTAAAAGGCGGCCATGCAAAAATCAAGAGCTGGGGTTACATTAGTCAGAAGCTGAACACAAGCCAACAACATCGTGGTGCTGGTAAAGACCAAAATCCTCGTGTCTGTAAACAGGGCTGCCTTATGTAAGGCACGCACAGCAATCCCTGTGCACCAGTGCTGCTGGGATCATAGCTGGAACAGTCTCATCCCAGCGGCTGGATTTCAAAACAGAAACAAGGCCATAAAATAAGCTCAAATAAAAGCAATGAAAAGGATAAAAAGTCAGAGGCAGGCAGACCTCAAACAAAAATAACCCCAACCCCAAAACTTTCCAAAGAAGAATTATCAAAAGAATGAGGTTTACTTTAGGAGGTGTGGGGGGCAATCTTCAATCTCCATCTCCTGGAGGTAGAAGCAGGCAAACAAACCTTCGCCATGCCCTCCAAGGAAATGCTTTTTTTTTGCTTCAAGATCTGTGTGCACAACAGGAGTCAAACATTCCCAGGAAACTGCAGTTTCGTCAGGTTCAGCTAAGCCTAAATCAATCTAAAATAGCTAAAGAAAACAAGGGCTTGTTCCTGGCTGGGGGCTTGGCCAGGCTACAGAGGAGGAAAACAAAACGCCAGTACAAGAACGTGATTCTCAAGGCCCTGAAAACACTGGCTGAGGTAAGCACGAGCGCTCTTTGGTGTCCTGGAAATTAAGCAACATTTGCACAACCAAGGGCTTCATCTGTCGGGACGGTTCCCTTCACGGTGAACACGTTCAGGAGGGAGAGAGCCCTTCACTGGTGTCTCATCACTAGACGCCAACTGTGGTAGCATCCCCTCAAGGTACAGAGTCTTTTCTAATTCCTAGGAGAAAAGTTTCTAACTCTTTATTAACAACGCTCTTGATAACTACCTGGTCAGTCCCCACCAATACAAAGGGGGATCTTTTCATCAACTTAAAAATGAACTGAACAGACTCAGCATTGCTTCAATGCAGCCTCTCTCTCCACCTGTGCAAAGGTCACACAGTGCCACAGCCACTTTTCTTATTGTTCTACTTTAAAAAATAATCAAAACAAGGTCACAAGCTCTCCAACTTTAAGGAGTAAAAAGTAAGATGATAAATGCTATTGGCATGACTTAAGTCAGCTGTTTTGCAAGTTAAGGAGCTCCTTCAATTTTAAAAGCCTCTTGCTGAACCAGGCATGAGAAGATACATGCTTTTAATAAAAAGGTCGGTTTCATTTGTTCAGCCAAAAATGTTGTTTATTTTTAAGTCCAGAGGAAAAAGGCCCATCTTGTGTATTGGAATAAAACTGCCCTTGCTCCCCGTGTCCTGGGAGTATTTACACTGAGGCTCTTTGTGCTCCACATCAGACAGATCCAGGCAGCCTCGTTTGGGCTGAGAGGGAATGGCCACCCTGCCTCCCCGCTGGAAATATGCACTTTTCTATTACAAGTTATTGGCGTTTCCTTGTCAAAGTCCATCCCGGGGTGGAACCTGAAGTCACTGCTTTAATATCTGACTCACACCATTCAGCAAATACAAAGGCAAAGCAGCAAGACTTTCATGGATGCAGTTAGTGAGGAAGTCACTGAAATCCAAAGATAACATCTGCAGTGCACTCCGGTTCCAATTTCATACCCGGTTGCGCACAGCCAAGCCGGGCCCTTCCTGGCTCCCTAAAGGCTCAGCTCATCAACACGCAGCCTTCCCTCACAACTGTCAACAGCTCATCCAACCCAAACCCAGCAGAAAACACCAAAATCTTACAGCAGAAACACGGCAAAAAAACCACACCAACATCTTGGGATCCAGAACCAAACAGCTGGTTTGAACCACACACTGTTTTTTTCTGGGCAGCTGTGATTTTTGAGCCCATTCCTTGGGGATACATTTCTTGTTCTCATTTTAATAAAAAAAGGTCTCTGAGACATTAGGTTTATTATCAGTATCCCCTCTGCTGCCGCACTTAGACATGAGCAAGAGCAAATAAATCAGAAGTCTCTTCTCAGCAACATTTTGTATCCTCAGCTTCTGCGCAGATCCAGGATATAAAGGGCTGAGTTTGTAGAGATTACTCAAATTGAAGAAAAACAAACGCTGTTTTGTGGAAAGTTGGCTCAGAAGAGCGAGTTCTGCACCAGGACTCCAAAAGTCACACACGTGCAGTGCGATGAGCTGGTTCCTCAAAGAGCAGCTGGTGCTTCTGCGCTCCAAGGCAGGGACCACGGCGGTGGTGCAGGATCCTTCTGCAAGATGCGCCAGCAGAACAGCCCCCTCGCCAGCCTCCAGCTTTGCAACGAGATTTGTGATCCAGTTTATATCATTCAAAGGGCAACAGGGGTTTCCAACCTCTCTCAAGCAACTGAACAGCTCAAGATTGCAGGGACTGGGCTGGACCGCTGCTCTCCATCCGCATCCAGCAGGAACAAGCAGAAGACAAGGAGCTGAAGGGTTCCCCAGCTCTGTTTGCATATTAAGGCTTTGCAGCACGATAAGACAGTTATTTCTCCCAGACAGGGAAACCACTGCAGGCCAGATGAATACCTTGATCAAAGCCACAAGGAGAAAAGCCACAGTCACGATGAGAAAGACAACAGGAAAGGGTGAGGCCAAATGACCACAGAAAAGGGGAATTGTTAGGCGCAGGTCATGGCCTCAACCAGCATAAACCCTTGGAGCAAGTCAGAGGCTTTGATAGGATCCAGAGCAAACTGGAACTAAATCCAGCTTCACCTCCTTTGGGTGCAGCTCATGTGCACCAGCTCCTGCACAGATTGGCTGCCCTGGAACATCCCCACCAAGAAAAAAACACCCCTCCTGGCAAGGCTCAGTCTGCTCCTCGCACTGAGCAACCCATTTCCCTCATTACGGTAACCAAGACCTGGCACCTCACTACCGTGCTGCTAGGAGATAACCAAGTTGTGTAGCCAACAGAGCACACCTTCTTTTTTCTCTTCCTTTTAATTTAGGCAGTAACCCACTCACTGTGTGCAGATCTCCAAAGCTCCAACTGCAGCTGACGCGAGCTGCTATTAAACCCCGAGGAGCAAGGTACCCAGCCCCATTTCCAGACCCATTCTAGCTAACCTGGGTACGCAGAGACTGCATTTTTTAACCATATGATCCTGCAAAAATCATCAGCGAACTGAAGGCTTTCCGTTGCTAAAGGGCATTTCCAAATATCACCTTTTCACCACAAAGTCTGGGTTTCCCAAATCCTGAGGCCCTAAGATCATCTGAACACAAACTCCTTGAGGGAGACAAGCGCACATTCCTTCACCACATCCAAGCACCCGCTCCCACACACCCTGTCTCATCCAGCTAAGGCACATCCTTCCAAGTCCAATCCCAGCCCTGCCACACGTCTGGCAGCACCCAGCTGCAGGGGACTGCAGTGCCATACCTGTACCCCCCGTGCTCTGGGGGACCGGCAGGGTACCCCCCCAAACATCACGGGAGGCAAGCTCTGGCCTCCAGACCCTCGCACCCACAGCCACTGCACACTGGGAGATGCTGCCGCCAAAGGTATGCACGGGTGGGATGCGATGAGTGGCCCGAAGTGCTCCCTGCTACTGTAAAAGGTTGCATAAGTGGTTTAATCTAAAGAAAAAACCCCAAAGAAACACAACAACAACAAAAAAATCCCCAAGAACTGGTTCCAAACTGCTCCAGGGCTTTGTTTTCAGTTTTGTTTGTTTAAGCATACTCTGCTGAGGGTTGAAGACCACAGCATTATTTTGTTCTTTTTTAAAAGTACATGATCCTGTACATTGGCAAACGGACTCAAAAGTCACCCTGCAGGTCTGGTGCGTAACACCCTAAAAGTACTGGAAAGCCAGCAACAGATCTGCCCACGCGTGATCCATCAGCTGGAGACAGCTCGAAAGCTTCAGGAGATGTGCCCTCAGGCACAGAGGAGGGAATCCTGCTCCGAGACATGGGAGGAGATCTCCTGAGTCACAGGAGTCATCCAAAGGCAACCGTCCTACAAG